GACGTGCCATCCATGACTAACAACAACTACAAGTAGACATCAAACTGTGACAAGCTTTGCTACTGTCGCACATGTGTTGTGATAATCCACGCCCTCAATTTTTATATAGCCTTTAGCTACGAGCCGAGCTTTATATCGTTTGACTGTCTCATCCAAAAGATATTTAACTTTCAAAACCCATTTACAGTCAATGCAGCGCTTCCCATGAGGAAGGTGCATGAGGCTCCATGTGCCATTTGACACCAATGCCTCTATCTCCTTTGTTGCTTCCCTCCAACATTCATACCGAAAGCTTCTCTAAAGGACCATGGTTCTGAAACTTTTCCAACTGCTTCCAAATATGCACGATAGGCTGGATTCCTGCAAGCATAGGACACATGATGTGAGAGAGGATAACGGATGCGTGAAGCAACATGCAAATGTATTTCATAGACGTCAACAAGGTGCTTGGGAGATGACATTCACGATCACTTCGATGAGGAACAACTGGAGAAGTAGGTTTCGTCATATGGGTGAGCAACATATGTTGATCATGGTTTGTTAGCGCTAACAAGGTACCTGATGAAGGGACTAACTCGAAACCAACATGGGACGTAGGTGAGGCCACATTTTTTCCTGGCGAATCAAATCCACTTAATTAGTGAAGTACTTGGAGTACTGGGTTCATCGAGAGGATTTCGTTTGTCCACATTGCTAGGTGTCTCGAAAATATCATCTAGAAATGTCGTGGGTGGTACCCAATAAAAATCATGATGGTCTTGCGCTTGGAAGAGAAAGTAATGCTCGTGAAAATTAACGTGATGAGATACTACGAGTTTTCAGGAAGCAAGGTCATACATTTTATAGCCCTTTTGGCTGGCCACATAACCAAGAAACACCCCTTCTCTTTCCCGATCCACAAAATTATGGAGTCCACTATGATTGTCTTTCATATACACGAGGCATCCAAATACTCTTAGATGACCATACGAGTATAGTGTTTAGGATGGATCCATGTGATTTTATAGGTTGTTTTTGTTTTTGTGAATATAGATAGTGTTTAGGATGGATCCATATGGTTTGCACAAGAAGCGGGGAGATCACCAAACGCCGAATTGGTGTTATCTTGAAGCTTTTAGTAGTCGGGCTAGCCAAGGATCCCGATCTCAAGAACAACTACCTCTCCATGACTATCAAAAATAACCCCCATGGTTATCGACCTCACCACCATCATATCAAGAACCACCTCTACAACCTATGGTGAAGACCGAGTTGGAGAAGGCCCATGAGCGACTTAAGGCGAGTACGCCATATCTAGATGGCCTAGAGAGAACTCACCCAACTCCAACCTGAAACCAAAGAGCCCTACGGAGCTCAAATTAGAAAGTTTCATAGCCGGGAGTGGGAGTGCACTTCATCCTTCACCACCACCTACACCAAAGAGCCTTGTAGAGTTAGCATTTGATCGCAAGAACATCCCAATGCAGTGCCTAGATGCTAGTGATCCCAACCTTGTATGTGTAGCTTTCAGATTAAATATGTTAAACGAGAGGAATGGTGGCTAGAAGATGTGGGGACTGTATGGACATCCTGCACTATAGGAAGTCCTATCCCTTCTAATAAAGACTTACTTTTTGAACAAGAAGAAACACTCAAGAGGATAGAAAAGAAGAGACATTGAACAACTTTGTTCGAGAGTTAATCAAGATCGCCTCTTCGACATCATCAATGAAGCAAAAGAGGAAGGTGTCTCGAGGGTGGACAAGCAAGTGAACCTTGATGATCAACCTAGTGAAGAAATTGCTTGGAGACATATCATAGCTCCCGACCATCAAAGAGATATAGATACAAAAGAGAGAATTTATGGGGAGGAAGAAAAAAAGGATGAGCTTGATACTCAGACATGAATGAAGATGGAGTAGAGGAGGTTGAAGATGCAATTAGAGTTCGACCAATGAACAAGGTTGAATTGGACGAAGCTTTGCCAAGTCACATGTGCTACCAAAGCTTTCCACCTAACGTTGATACACTTTTAGAGAAGGACCCTTATGCGGTTTCTCTTTGCCAAGCCAAGGTCACACCATGAATCATCCCTCGTAGTGGATTAAAGGGTGATCAATCAAGATTGTATTACATGGTATGGGGCAAAGATAAGGAAGAAGAAGAGGTCTCGTGGGTGGAGACAAAAATTTTACCAAGTCCACGGGTCATTCACATCATTTGAAGCATCCAACGCTCCTGACTTGGTGCATCACTGACTCGCTAAAACACAACACCTAACAATGGCCAAGTGTAACCAATGAAAGGGACTGCAGTATAGTGGCACAAGTAAAAAAATATCGAATCCACGGGTCTCTAGAGTTACTATTACTCAGCTTCAGTTCATTATCTAGCAAACTAGATTAAGGATTGATTGATAAACTACTCTACTGACTACTCTACTAATTACAAGTTGGGAACTCACTTAGGTATGATTCCCCCTAGCTCCTCAATTAGGTCCAAGTTGCAATTACCTTTTGTTGATCTACTGTTGATTAAACTGCGGAAGATCCTAAATTAGCTTGGAATCTCTTAAGCTGACCAAGCCCTCTTAGTCCAACTACCCGGCAGACGACTAGTCTTCACCAGGATAGAAAGCTGAGGCTATGAACACAGAACTCCACTAGTGGAATGAATTCCAATACAAAGAAGTGAATTGATTGACTCTCGCACAACCAATTCACCACTATCAATCAAGGAAGCTCTCTTAACCTAATCAGATTCTATCTATCATAGGTTAAAGCAGAAATCAAGAGAATTTGATCAAGATTCAATTGACTCAATAAATCATGCCTCAATCGATTATAATCAAACAATAAAGCATCCAAAACTTCATACAAGAAAGATCCTAACTCATGGAACTAGGGTTCCTCAAAACCTAAGTGAAGGGAAGTTACTCCATAGAGAAGAGAGAGACTGCAGAAATCTGATCTAGATCTTCAATCTCCATCTCCAAGCTTGATTCCCGAGCTCCAATGGCGAAGAAATCCTCCAAAATAGCTCCAAGAATGTTTCCAAGTCGCTCTCTCTCTCTAGGGTTCGTCCCTTGGGTGTTTGGGATCCAAAACCCAGCTCTCTCCCTTTCCTTTCGCTGAAAATCGGGTTTTAAACAGCAATTCCCGACTCACACGGCCGTGTGGCTTTCCCAGATGCCCGTGTGAAGGCTCGGTGAATTCCACACGGGCAAAAGTGCCCCTTGCACGGCCGTGTGGGTTGTGCCCGTGTGGCTTGCTCAGCCTCTGTTTAATGCTTCGTTTCTCCCTCGTCCGGACTCCGAATCAGTCGCCGTTTGATCCCAGACGCTCGTAGTCTTGTCCTCTTTCTATTCATGACAAGCTTGCATGATTCTTTGTCCATTAAGTGAGGTATAAATCCATTCTTCTTCAGGTCATGCCTGAGTTTCTTCTCCCAAATCGTCAATTGATCTCTGATTGACTTGAAACTTGCGCCTATGCTTCACTTTATGTGCCTGTGACCTGAAATGTGACAAAGGAAAACAACCTAGTGTAAAATAAGGCAAAGACGCGATAATTCAAGCTCAAACAATCAAGAAACAAAGGGGAAAACATGTGCAAATACCGAGTCATCAATCACGTCACCGACGAGAACCTCAGCTTCAAGGAGGTCTTGAGCTGGACTGAATACTTGAAGACAACGGTGTAGTGAAATGAAATAAAGGACACGCTAGTTGGGAGGCACCCCGACATCAGTTTGCTCTTCCCTTACCCTATTTCTACCGTAAACAATTAGCTAACCTATTATTTTATTTCCTATTTTTATTTTGGTTTTTATCTTTCTCGTTATAGCTTGAGATTAGGGATGCATGTTTTTATCTTGCCAAGTGATTTGAGATAGGCCTACTCTTCCCTTGTATCCATATATAAACAATTTTCGCTTTAAATATTTTTTCCGGACAAACCAAATATCACGGTCTCAGTGCATTTTTGCGACCGCGATTTCTCCTTGTTCCTCTGCGAACTTTGCCGAATTGCTAAAGATCGCAGCCTAGGTTGAAAAGACCACGGTTGGGATCATTTTCCTCTAGTCGCATTCTTATGCGAATATATAAAAAGACGATCGCGGGACTACTTGGCCTAGATACCATTTCACCAAAATTTTCGAACTTCCTGCCCATGAACTCGAGATTTCACCCCCAATCTTCAATTTCTTCAATTCTTCTTGTTCTAGCTTGATTTTGGAACCACTGACCATGTCTTCAATTGGTTCAAGTCAGATTCTGAACTTCTTCTCCTCTTTTCCACTTGAATCAAGTCGAGCTAGTATAGACAATGTAGTTGAATGTTTGGACGAATCTAGGCCATTTAGGGGTTGATTAAGGTTTTTTAATTATTAAGAATAAATGTATACATGTTTATGATAGTTTGTGGATTCAGAGGCCTTGGTGGGTGATTATATGTTGAAATTTTGATCTCTAAAGTCATGCCCAATGCTCGATAAAATGCCCGAACCACACACACTTTTGATTTTCTTGATCGAATGCTATTCTTTACTTGTTTGAGTTTGTTTAACTTTCTTCTAGGCATAGTGAACCACTTTTCAAACTTAGTGGCACGTATTTTGTGTTCTTTTATTTGCGATTTTTGTTTGTGAACGTGCTTCCATAAATTTGTCATGCCTATTTTGGCTCGTTCTCAACCTTTCCCTTTGCTCGATTTAAATTATAGATCAAATCAATTCCACTCATATTAAACCTCTGCAATTTAAATTTCCCTTTTGTTAATCTCATAACTATGTTTTCTAAACCACATTTTAACCTATGAACTCATTGTATTTCCAAGTGTGGGGGAATTTCTCCCTTTTTCAATTTTTAGACGCTGCTAGCATTTCCCAACTTTCTTCTGGTTCTGAATTGTGTTATTTGGCGTATTGATTGTATCTCAATGGTTGCGGGAGAAATGATAATGGGGTATTGACGCGAGAGAGAGTTCGAACCCACATCCTAGAGCTCTTTTTGGTATCTTCTAGTATGCTAGACATAATTGGCATAGGTTCATTCGAGATACAACAGAGGGAGGAATGGGAGGGAGACAAAGCCTCGGTTTGTTCAGGAGGAACAACACCATGGGGACTCTAAGTCCCAAGAATACAAGGTTGAGCAGCAACCTCAGGGTCGCCAGAAGAGAGCCCCCATGACAGAGATGCCTCACATCGAACATCCTTTTCTCAAGGCTGTCCCATACCTTGATCGGGAGTGTCTTAAGCGTTTCCAGATCAAGGAGACCGGAGAGAGTGAGTGCCTCAACTGGTTGCTCTTTTCCCATCTTGAAGTGAGGATCTGATCCGGTCTAGGATCACGGATCTCATTTGGCTCAGAGTACTCGAGATCAACGAGAGGATTTACCGGGTTCTCACCCTTGAGTTCTTGAGTACACTATGGGTCTAGAATATTAAGGGATCTGTTGGTGAAGAAAGTCCCCAGATTTACTTATGTGTGAGAGGGGTAGAGCGAGAGATGTCGATGAGGGATTTCAGTTTGGCCCTCGACATTTACCCTTTGGAGTTCATTTAGGACCACTACTCTTTCATCTCCCTGAGTTCGAAGAGTGAATTCTCATTTAATTTCCTCACGATTTCTACAAGAACGTGAGGAATCTCCCTCACTTCAGAGCTTGGGACGTGAAGCTATCAAAGGGGAGCGAGGTGAGACTGGAGTTCTGACTGATAAATCATGTCATCTCCCCCTCAGTTGGAGGAAAGTATGAAAGCAAGGTCAATCCCCTGTCAGATATGTGCTGTTCATCTGGAGCATGCAACATGATAGGCCACTTCAACTTGGGCTCTCCATTCTTCAGACTGTTTTTCGGTATGATTTAGACCATCGATTGATGGATTTGCACGGAGGAGTCTACATCACCGGGATAGCCATATATCTTGGTGTCGACTTGGACACCTTCAGTGTTTCGGTCCCATTTACTTAGCTGAAGACTTATTTAAAGACCTTGGAGCAGAATAAGGAGGGTGTATGGGGAGTTTGAGGAGTAAGATTTCCGGACACCAACATGGTGGTTCTGGACAGGATCCGACACACTCTCTCATGACATCATATGCCAAGGGGATGAAGTTCTTCTACAGCACCATCTGCTCGCCACTGCTTCCGTATGGGTTAGTCGAGTCACCCTCAGCATTCATTGACTTCAGCTGACCCTGCCATTCATGCACATCGGGAGACCATCCTGAGGAACCAGCAGAGGGAGGCCCAGCTGAGGATACACTTGCTAGATTGCACTCATGCTTTGATGGGGCACAATGAACTGAATCCGACTCAGGTCAGGCATTAGTACGAGCACACTCCTTCCCCTCCAGAGTACACCGTTGAAGGAAATGAAATAGAGGAGGAGACAGATGAGGACTAGACCTATGTTGTTCACTTCGCACTGCAGGGCAACCTCTTATCTTTCTCCATTCCTAGCTCAAACTTATGACGATTTCTTTTTCAGTATTTTATCTTAACTAATTTGGATATTTAGCTTAGTGTGTTTATTCTTTTTGCTATTTCTATCTAAGTTTCGAGCATGCTTTAGAACTTTTCCTCTCCAATACCTCATTCTCTTATAAATTACTTGTGTTTGTGTTAACTTCTTTTAGATCAAAGAAGACCAACACACTAAGCGCCATATTTCTACCTCGACTACATAAACTTTACAATGGTAAATTCTTGAACCTAACTTCGAATTCCCACATTGAGGACACTGTGTTTCTCAAGTGTAGGGGAGATGTGTTGCATATTTTTCAACGAGTTCATGTTTGTCGCCAAATCGATTAGTTACATCCGTTAATGATAAATGTAAGACGGTTATTATTGCTATGAGAATGTGACTGATTGATTGAATAGGCCGATGTAGTCTAAAGGCACACATAGAGGTGGCAATTCTCAATCCAATCCACCAATCCAATCCACCAACCCATTAAAAATATCCACCTTATTGTAACACCCTACCCTATACGTTTTGCCTAATCATATTGTTCATACAATTGCAGCGGAATTCATCTCGGGTGTTACATTAATTATCAAAATTTACCCAAATAAAATTTCGACATGAATTACTCGCGTAATGGGCTAACAGTTCTTGCAACTTATCCTGCAAAATAATTCACAAACATATATACTCACAGCCATATACATTGGCTTTTCTTAGCCATAGTCACAGTTTTCATACTCCACAACTGCATACCATACTTATACAAGCCATAATCGTCACAACTTACACAGTTACACAACATATACACATATCATCAACTTTCCACACCTGTGGATATCTCACACTACATCAGAAGCTAGTATGCACATGAAAAACGTTCTCAAAACATTTTTCCAAAAGGGTGTGGATCACTGGCCAAAATCCCGAGTAGTAGTCCAAGCACAGAATGGTTGAAGACCATACCTCATCTTGCCTTCAACTCTTTCTCAGCTCCCACCTATACACCTATCTACTGCTGCTGATGATCTGCTTACACATGGCATAAGCAGAGAAGAAGAATAAAAGAGGGTCAGCTCATAGCTGAGTGAGATAATCATAGCATCGTGAGTTCATAACAGAGCATACCCCTATCATACATCTAACAATCAAGCCAAAACACTAGGATCGGATCTCAGCCCTCCGACATCCCAATAGGCAAAAGACTCAACCACCTTGACTTATGCATATGCATCTTATCATGTTTTAATCATAGGCGCCTGGCTACTCCCATGCTAATAACTCTCCCGGGAAACATACCCCACATCCCGTCGGATGTAGTCATACATACCCCAACATCCCGTCGGATGTGGTCATACATACCCCACACCACTATGGGTGTAGTCATACCCCAACACCGCTCTGGGTGTGGTCATATCTCATAAGAATTCTTCAGTCACCACCACATGAGAGGTGTGACTATCATACATATCATAATAGAGTAATAGCATAGGGAGCCCTAATTACTATGTAGTTGACCGTGAGACCACAACACTCATATTTGGTATCCTTATACATGATTCATATCTCATCTTGCTTAATCATAATTCATTACTTGCACATGTACTTGACCTGGCCACAATTGGCTCAACATAGGTAAATCAGGAGTCGTATAATTGCATTTCCTCGGGATAAACCCTCGTGCAAGTCATCCTCCTTAAACATCATAATATCACCCTGGGAAGTTTATTTTCCCCACTTGTGAATCCAAAAACAACCACAATATCACATCATGTCAAAAACCCTTATCGAACAACCATAAAGTCATATCAACAGTTAAGCCACAAATGGCAACATGTAGGCAATCATCCACATAAACAAGGTTCATATCGATTAGGGCAAGTCAATAATATCATACAGTAGTCCAGGGTTCATCATATAGCACAAAAGTCCATACACCCCTAATCATGCCATTCTAGTTCACCTAGGTCAATTCTAAGCATCAATATAATTATCGTGATACGACAAACCCGGTATGCCGTGCTAATCCCTCACCAGTTCTGGTCGTTCAAACACCGGTTTAAGCTTCCCGTACTAAAACGTCAATTTCACGAACGAACCCCGAATTAAAATCCGAGACCGTCCTAATATCCCCTGCAGTATCCCCGTCAATATTAGTTCTAGGCTCCGGGTTTAATTCTCGATAAAAACACATCAAACCCTGGCCGGAGCTAAATTCAGCGGTTTGGACCCCGGCCTAAATAATTGCCGAAATTCAGAGATTAGAACTAGAGGATTGATTACCTCGCTGCAGGATGCTCGTATATGAAATTTGGGCTCAATCCGGCTTCCGGATACTCCGAAACCCTAATTTGCCTTATCGGGAATTCAAGAAATTCCTGAACCAAAAACTCGTTTTAAAGCTCTAAATCGATAAATCACGATGTATAGATGAATTAGGCATTACTTACGGGCTTTTTGGATCAGTATAGCTCAAGAATCGAGCTACGGAAATTTTCCCCGAGCTCCCCTGTGCGCGACTGTTGTCGTTCTGTTCCCTCGGTTCTTTCTCGGTGGAGAAAATGGGAAAAGATGATGGGGATGATAATTAAAGTAATGGACGGGGGGTAAGTTTTATATATATATGTCGGCCGCTTAATTAATATATATATATATATATCTAATTAATACGTATACTTATCTGATCGATCGATAATCCGATTTTCGTCGAAATAGTGTCGAAATGCTCGATTTTAAATCGCGAACTTTCTAGCGATCGAAATATGGATTTTGCCGGAATGGGATGTTACAATTCTCCCCTCCTTAAAAGATTTCGTCCCCGAAATCTAACTTTGAGTCGATAGTACATATCCGCTCGTTCCCCCCCTAACCTACACTATCACAAATCTTGTTACTACCTAACTCTTAGGTTAGGAGATCTGAATTACATAACTAAACACATAACACCTCAAGTTCCCATGTTTAGGTTTTAAAAACCTATACTGGGCTATCACAACAAAAACACATCAACAAGTTGAAAACATAACTTATTAGGCAAGATTGTTAACCTGCAAAGTAGGTTGCTACTAACTCAGGGTACTTCTCTTGCATACTTGCTTCAGTTTCCCAGGTAGCACTCTCACTTTCTTGATTTCTCCAAACCACTTTCAACATTGGGATTTCCTTCCTACGAAGATTCTTAATCTGGTGATCAACAATCTCAACAGGAACCTCTTCAAATGTCAAATCTGGACCCAACTCGATATCCTCTACTTGTATAACATGGGAAGGATCCACTTTGTACCTCTTTAGCATACTAACATGAAATACATTGTGGATTTGGGATAGTTCTGGAGGCAATGCTAACGTATAAGCCACTGGTCCAATCTTCTCTATGATTTCATATGGTCCAATATATCGAGGTGCAAGTTTCCCTTTCTTACCAAATCTCATTACGCCTTTCCATGGTGACACTTTGAGAAATACTTTCTCACCCACTTCGAAATTAACTTCACGCCTATTCGTGTCAACATAAACTTTCTGCCTATCTTGAGCCACCCTCATACGCTCCCTGATTTCCTTGACCTTATCAACTGTGATCTGAACTATCTCTGGCCCTGAGATTTGCCTTGCTCCTTCTACATCCCAACATAATGGTGTTCTACATTTTCTCCCATAAAGTGCTTCATATGGTGGAACACCCAAACTACTATGGTACTGATTGTTGTAAGCAAACTCAATTAAGGGCAAATGGTCAATCCATGATTCCTCCCATTGCATTACACATGATCGAAGTAACTCCTCTAAGGTAAGGATGGTTCGTTCACTCTGCCCATCTGTTTGAGGATGATAAGCTGAGGTAAAAT